TTTCAGAGAGATCTTGCAATTCAAAGATGACTCTTATAAGTCTCTCAGTTCTCAGATCTGAGTTCTCATACTCTGCTTATTATAAGAGCAGATTCTCAGTTTTCATCTTTCAGCTCATTCACTTCATGAGCTTTAAAAACACTACAGTAACCTGAGATCCTGAGTTCATCAATGCTTTTCATACTTATAAGACAGCAGTACTGCAGCACAGTCTCTCTCTATAAGCAAGTATTTTCATCAGAAAAGTAACAGATTTAGATATCAGCTTCAAGACTCTTAAGAAGGCTGTTGCTGACTCTGTTCATAACTTCTCAAATTTCTATTTTGATTTGTTCAGACAGTTTGCACAGAGATGTTCTAATTTAGAATAGATAAAGCAGAGTCTCTTTTTCTTAATCTCTCTATTATATACTCTATTTACAGAAGCTTATAAAGCTCTCTCTCTCTGCTCAGCAGTCAGATATGAATCTCTCTGTGTCTTATCATCTTTTTCTAATAAATCTGTTCTCTGTTATTCTGGCCCTTGCAGAGCTAGTTAATAATCTGCTCTCTGCAGATCTGTGACTCTCACAGTGATTCACAAGCAGTGAATGAGAGTTATCAGTTTCTTCAGAGTTAAGAACTTAGAGTCTTACTTAATAAGCTTATTCTGCATGTCTTTATTCAGTCTCTTTATAAATATTATTATTCAGATCTTGTTTCAGAGTTCTGTTTTCACAGACTCTAATTCACATCACAATTTCATAAAGCACTGTGAGTAGTCTTTATCAGATTTCTCATCTCTTTTTCTAATATTGATGATTGCAGTTCAGATGTTCTCTATCTGACTTATAAAGTCTCTTAACTTGTTCTTTAGATATGTCTTAAGAACAGATCAGCAGAATCTCTCATGATTATTTTCTAGATAATTCAGTCAGTTTTTGACTTCAGTGTAATAGAGATCTGTTATTGTGTAGATGATAGCTTCTTCATCTTTCATATTACACAGCTGAGCTTGTAAGTCAATTTCAAATACAAACTTGTAAAAGCTTTTATAGATTGTGATTCAATAAGTAATCTTAAGTGATTATAACTTAAGAAAGTTTCTTTTCAGTTCACAGATATCTCTGAAGATTATGTCTAGAGACTCAGTTTGAGAATGTTTACAGATAGTAAGTATTTCTTATAGAAAAATAGCTTGATCTTATAGAAGATGCTCAAGAATGTTCTTCACTAAGATTGATTTGTTTATGAGTTCAGAGAGTTTCTCTGTCACAGATGTAAAGAATGATATTCTATAAGTGATTAATAAGTTCTCTGAGACTTCTTTCATAAGAGCTATTCATGATTCAGATGACTGCTTCTGAATGCCTGCAGTAGAGTTCACAGAGATTAGAGTATACAAGTTTCTAGTTCTTTCAGTTATAACAGGTGATTGCTGACTGACTGAGCTTGAAATGTAAGAATAAGTACTCACAGACAGTTATTCAGATGTTTGCAGCTTGATGTGATATATACTGTTAACTACTAGAAGTATTCACAGTAGAAAGATAAAATGTAGAGATTAAATGTATAATAGCATTCAAGCTGAGTTGTGAATAGTATTTGTGAACTCCAGTCTATATAGTTGTGTGTAGTCAAGGGCCGCTAGCTCTATTGATTACATGAGAGATAGAAATAGAGGTAAAGAATCCGCAAGAAGCGGGATTTCTTACAATACTCATCTTTGAATCTACAGATGTCACATCTATGCAAAGATACTGAATGAAGTTCTCAATAGAAATCACTCTCAGAAGCTAGATCTCTGAGTATATATTGAATATCTAGTTGAATATGATTCTACAAACATCTATTGAATTTGAATTTCACACTTAGAATAATTGATAAGAGCAAGAGATGTGATATTTAATGAGAATAGAAAATTCAACTCAGAAGACCTCTACATTGAAAGACAACTAAGAGATTGAGTATCTAAGAAGATAAAGCTTCTATATATGAAAGTTCAAGAATCATTAATAACTACTATCAATCAATTGAAAGAGATTATAGATGCAGATATTGATGTTTTTCATTTTAAAGAAAATGCTCAAAGCTCTGAAAAAATAGAGGAGGAGAATAATGAGTATAAACACTATAACATTTTAATTCTTTCTAAAGTTTCAATCCTTTCTACACCAGATTCAATGCCAGAGTCAACAGATTCTGATGTTAATATTAATACTTATTCAGCTGTGATAGATAATTGAATACAGAATATTGCATCTAGAGCTCATAATATCAGTGCTGATTTTAATGAAGCTAATATTATTAAAGACTACAGAACCTGAAAATGCAGAACTGCTCATCTTGTGACAGTTTCAATTATTAAAGACAATTCTTATTAAATGATCAATGATGTATTCTCTCATTCAAATTCACACACAGACTTTAACAAGTCTCAAAATTTATTTTCTAATACTGTTTACACAGTTATCAATAATACAGCTATATCAAGAATTCATAGATCTCAACTGTCAGATTCACTGAATCACTGAACAGATATTGAAAAACACTCACATCATGAAGAATTTGAGAACACTGTTAAGCAGAAATGAAATAGTATATCTCTGCAGAATACATATGAAATTACTAGTAGATTACAGAGAGATATCTCAGTTATCTCTCTACAATGAATATTCATCTACAAATTTGATGCTGAAGGTTTTCTTTTGAAATACAAAGCTTGTATCTGTGTATACAGAGATCTTCAATCAATCACAGATCTCACTATAAAAGCTCACACTCTAGCTGTCAGAGATCTCTGAATCTTGTTAGCTTTAACAGCAGCATTTGATCTAGATGTGAAATAGCTAGATGAAATCAATGTCTTTATTAATAGTGATATTGATAAGCTAGTATATGTGAAACTATTTAATAAATGATAGAAGTTGAAGAGAATGTAAAATTTGAAGTATATAAAATATATACTAAAACTTCTATAAGTATTATATGAATTATACAGATCATTTCTTCTCTGATTAAATGAACTATCTTCAATATTGAGAACACTAGACTTCATCTCTATATCAGAGAATTGATGTCTCTTCTCTAATGATTGATTAATCATCTTCTTCTATGTGAATAATATCATCATTCTATCATAAAAAGAAGATTTGAAAGAAAGAGATCAACTAATCAAAGATCTTAAAAACACCTACAAGATCTGACAGATGAGAGATTTGAAATGGTTTCTCAACATATGAATAATACATGATCATCTCAACTTAAAGCTCTGGCTATGTCAGAATGTCTATATTGATAAGATAGTTAATACATATCATCTTACACATGCCTGCAAGGCATATACCTCACTAACTGATACTCTGTTAGAGTCTTTTAATGAGTCAGTCATATCTGTAAAAATCCATTATTATTAACAATGTATCAGCTTCTGTATCTACTCAGTGATGATAACTCACTCTGATATTACATATGCAGTGAGTAAACTAGCTATGTTCATGATGAATTCATCAGAACATCACTTATCAGAGATGAATAGAATGATATCTTATCTATATAATACAAAGAATCTTGCTATTCAATATGATAATAACATTGACAGACCTCTACAACTTAATCTCAAACCTGATATTATTGAAGCTGTCAGTGATGTCTCTTTTGTAGATAATTCAGATTATCACTCTACATAAGAATATATCTTCAAACTATTCAGAGAAACTGTTGATTGAAAATCAAATAGATAGATAATTATAACTATATCTATTACAGAAGCTGAGCTTGTTGTAATCTTATAAGCTGATAAGAAGTCTATCTGATGAGATAGATTCTTTTAACATATTCAATTTGAATCTGGTCATAAGATCTGTATTCAATGTGATAACTGTCAAACTATTGATATTCTTATGAAGAAAGATCTCTCTATAATTATGAAGCTTCATCATGTTGATATATATGAAAGCTGGCTCTGAGATTGTGTTCAATCTAATGATATTACAGTTGATTGAGTGTCTACAGCTCAGATGTCAGTGAATGACCTCACTAAGACTCTGCCACATCAGAAATATACAGAATTTGTCAAGATACTAGGCCTAGTTAATATATCAGATATCATCAAGGTGTAAGCAGAATGATGATATAAATAATCTATCTTGATATAATCTCTACAGATTCATCTACACTCTTTTTAGTTGCAGCTTTATTTACACTTTTATTTACATGTTACATTCACTGAAGAGAGTGTGTCAGAAAAAAGAGATTATACACTACTGAATGCTACTAACATTGTATTACTACAATATTTCTCATTATTATCAGCTTACTATAACACTTATCTAATACTCACTTATACTAGCTCTCTTGACTCACATATATATTTTACTATAAATAGCTCTATCTTTTGTATGAAATAGATATATTAGATAGTGTACAGATAATATAATAAGCAGATCTTGATACACATAAGATTCATATATCTTCAACATATTCATCCGTGACATTCAATCCGACAGTTCTCTACTTATATTCAGTCATTTTAACTGCTTTAATTATATTTCAGATAATTTGATGATTAATTGAAGTAAATTATGACATATTTTAATTACTGACTATATATATTATAGTTCTAAGATCTTTATATAAGCTATCTGATATTTAATTACATTTTATGTGAAGCTTCTCTATTAACTCTATAATACTGTTACAGTGTTATTCATCTTTTTTCTATGTAGTTATTCTCTATTAATAGTTGTGAATTACATGGAATTCATCTATACAAATCACATGTAACTGTTCATATTCATGAATATCTCATTACATTCAATCTGAGGGATTAAACAGCATGTTTTTCAAGCTGAATAAGTAAGTGCAAGTGAGTGATTGAGGCTTGTAATAATAATAATAACTGTATTCAATAAGTTATCGGATATATATAATCCCGCAGCTACATTACGTCATCGGTGAGGCCCCCAAAGAAGACAAACAACGCAAACACAGCAAACCCCAGGCAAGCGCATTCTTGAAGCCGCGACATCATCGCATCCAACCGCCGTTTAATCAAGACATCAAAAGACATACTTTCCTGTATCGTATCAACAAACTGACGGGCTTCATCCAACCAATCTCACCGCACTGCATACCCGGTCGCCTTTTAAACTGCGCAGGTAAAAGCACTCGAGCCGTTTCGAGTGCCTAATTTCTAGTGCAACGTCCGTTTTCTAGCCGTTTACGTTGCATCATCCGCTAGGCGACCGACTGGAAGCTGTCTTAAGACAGGAATACTCCGTAAATAAATCCATGTTCGGGATCTGCCATTGACCAATGGAAGAGAGGCAATATCGTGTCTACATACATTCGTTCTTTTTTCTTCAGTTGAGACCAACCTACCTGTTGCATTACGAGACTAGAATGTTCACTTACTTCAATAATTTCTGCAACGTTTCCACTAAGTGATTCACCATGGCTTTGAGAAAGGATTTGCCGAACGATCCAGATGGCCAGGACGACGAGCGCAGTCAGAATGACCTGTCGTATCGAGCCTGGGACCCTATCCCTTCTGCCCAAGTATCTCCGTCGTCACAAGCTACAGCCTCCCAGCCGGAATTCTCCGACTCTGCTGCACCAGGCTTAAATCATGCACCCCCCTCAGGTGTTGTGTGTGATGAAGTGCCCAACCCTTGGACTCAGGAATTAGCATATCGCCCGGCTACTAGAGAATTACCGCTTTCGTCACAACCTAGTGAATTAGATGATCAACGATTGCAAGAAAGCTGGCAGCGTGAAGGATGCGCAGGAATACAGGATTTCTCTCGAGGGGAGCCTGAGAAGGAACAAGATGGTGCTGCCATTTTTGATTCACAGGACAAGCCTTCTACGAGCTCTTCCACCGAAGACGGACGGCATACTACTAGCCCTGGACAGCTTCGTTCAAACAATCCTTTCCTGAAGGCTAGACACAACAGTGGTGGCCTGCTAAAACAATCTATACCTGGCCTAGACCCATTTGAATTTCCGCAATCCAGTAGCTTGGATGGCCATCAAGACGGTAGGTTGTTCCAGTCAGATGCCACGTTACCCCCCCACATTACGATTCTAATCGCTCGTTGTGTTAGTAGGCGAATTGGTTACACATCCGTATAATTCAAACGGACCGGATGGAGAGCTTTCTAAGTCATCTTTTCACATACCCTATGAACACGGCCATTATGACCTTGACACTGAACCTGGTCCGCGCGGAGCAGGAAGTTCCAGCCCGTTCCTAGAAGAAGGGAAGGCGCCGTTAGTTTACGGGCCTCCATCTATATTAATCCAGTCTTCAGACCCATATCATCATTTAGACAAAGTGGATCATATGGACCAAAATTTACAACCACCTAGTTCTAGTCAATCAAATTCTTCCCGGAACCTTATAAGTTTCGAGGAAGAAAACGAACCCAACGGAAATACCACGACGGATGCACCATCTATGAGCAGCGTAATTGATGACCATCCTAAGGACCTGCCAAATGAGACCCCATCCATATCTGATGAATTGGATTCATCCACTTCGATGTCTGTTACTGCTGGAACGTCGCTTGAGCAAGTGAAACCATCTCTGTCGCATCTAAGTGAATCTGGACAGCCGCCCGCCATATTGCAGAAAAAGCTATCTGAAACTTATGACATTCGCCAGGTTAACTGGACAGATGGCACAACTAGTTTGCGTACATCGCCCGTGCTGGTGCAGAATGAAAACGGGCCGTGCCCGCTACTAGCCCTCGTCAATGGGCTTATGCTGCGGAGCAGAGCAGATTCCCCGTCGCCCATTACAAAAGCCCTTCAATCACGAGAGAAAATTTCGTTAGGATTGTTAATGCAAGCGCTGTTCGATGAACTTACTTCGTACTTAGATGGAGCTGACAAGCTTCCGGATATCGAAGCTCTGAGTTCCTTTCTTGTTATGCTACATACAGGGATGAATGTAAATCCACAGTTGGTAATGGTAAGCTTTTTATCCACGTAACTCCTGATGTTTCTGGCTTGAACGCCTAACACATAATAGCAAATTTATATGTCCGATTCGCCTGGAACCTTCCTTGAGACAAACGATACAATCCTCTATAGTAGTTTCAAGTTACCCCTCGTTCACGGCTGGCTTGCAGAGACGTCCTCTGCGGCCTATGCTGCGCTAAACCGTGTAGCTCAAAACCATGAAGATATACAGTTGCTCCACTTTCGAAAAGAGGAGCTGGAAAGCCGCGTTTTCCGTGGACAGCTTCTGACGACTGACGAGGAGAAGTTAATAGAAGATATCGACACAATCCAACACTTCGTTGACGTTGAAAACGCTACTCAGCTAAGCGCCTTTGGTCTCGAGCACCTTCAGAGATGCCTAAAACCCGGATCCATTTCAATTCTCTTCCGAAATGATCATTTCTCTACGCTTTTCAAACATCCGCTTTCGAACCAACTGTTCACTCTTGTAACCGATGCCGGATATGCCAACCATGCAGAAATTGTGTGGGAAAGTCTAGTCGATGTCAACGGAAGTAATGCTACTTTTTTTTCAGGAGATTTTCGTCCTGTTGGAAATTTTTCTCCATCTATAGCTGGACCTCAACATCCTAGCCAAAACGATCTTGCGATCTCAAGCGGGTTAACACATAGAAACAATCAGATGGGACTACCGGAAGGCAATTAAACAACACAGAACAAACAGACGCAGACTATGCCTTTGCTTTGGCTCTTCAGTTTCAAGACGAGGAAGAACAACGGCGTACAAATCCACGCAATCAAGCGCAAATCCAGACACCACAGTTGCGAACGTCGCAATCTCAGGGGGTTATACATCACTCTAGCAACAGGCCGAACTTTAACCATCGACAGTCAGCGTCGTCCACCGGCCGTCGCGCACCCCAGCAAACGCAAGAAGTTCGATCACTCGTACCGCCACCCAGGACTTCAGTGGCTGACCCTAGCGCTGACGCTCCACCTCCAACGTACGAGCAGGCAGCCAACAGTCCAGTGTACACTCCTCCCTCAGACCACTCCCAGTATGATGGCTCTCAGAACAGCAACACTAGCATAGCTGGACCGAGATCCTCAAGTTATGGACTCAATAATACTGGACCCAATCGTGTCCACGATGGCCACAGACGTGTCCATGCATTGTCCAACCCCTCTCTTCCGCCCCGTCCTCGTGATAGGGATAGAAACAAAGATTGTACGGTTATGTGACAAATAAAGTTTTCTCGGGCATTTGAAATTTCACCTTCCTCCAAACGCACTTTCAAGCGATTCAAACAAATCTCGTCTTCTGTTTCATTTTTCGATTTCACCATTCCTTTTTGCGTTTTGATTCCAGGGACTCGCAGCTTACTGGGTTATGTCAATTGTACCTGTCCGTTACTGTTCAGTTGTGTGTTTTATGTTTTATGTTTTACGATATCATCAAATGTTTCTCTGTTTTTATTCCCCATGTTTTGCTTCTTATACCTCCCTGGTCATTTTGCGGCGTTATATCCTTGCTATCTCTTTCTCTCGAATGACGTTTTGGTCATTGATCCCCAGATTTATCTGCACAGCTCACTAATTGCTGCTTGTATTTAAGCGGGTGGCTATTATGACTTTGTTGCTGAGGATGAAATGTAAATCTTCTTCGAAACCCATTTTTCAACCTGAAGCATTGAGTAATTCACCTGACAAGGAATATTCTACATGTTCAAGATTCTGGAACGGTATGCAGAAATCGCCGGTGGCTGTCCCCGCATAATGAAATGTGAATGACCGGGGTCGATATTGCGCATGCTGTAGGTACATGTACTGTTAAGGAATGAACGGGTACTGCTCGTAAGGGGATGAATATTCTGCAGTTGGCTGTGCTGTTCCGCTGGGAAGTAGTGTTCACTCCTTACACTGAATCACAACTGAGGCTTAGTACTAAAATTGACACACTATCATCGGTCAGCTGGGGGTTATATAATGGAATATATCGAGCCGCCATGTAATATTTTAATTCTAATAATGGACATGAAGGATTGAGTACCAGGGCTCTTTGATGATGACAATGAACAATTCCGCTCTGGTTCATCCGCTCTGGTTCAAAAACAAAGCGTGGGCGTACGCCTGCCTGCCTTATTTACTCATGCTGCCTACAACTGGAGGGCTGGCTTGATCCTGAATATAGTTTAATGGAATCGTTGCGCCAATAAGGAAAAGTCCATGCAATTAACCTTCTGTTGTTCGAGGCTCATACCAATAAATTCAATACTTATGCTAGAAGGTAGAAAACACACAGAAACGACCGAAAACATGATATAATGGGTGTAATAATGCAGGGGAGAAAATGAAAAATGTAAATTGAAGGTAACACGTTTCACGTCCCGCCTCCCCCAGACTGATTTTACAAACAGGGGGGCGGACATGAAAAAGAAAAAGAAATAAGAAATGAGAATGAAATTAGCGAATGAAATGCTTAGGCAACAAAACATGTATGCACAGAAACGGGACCCGCCAGGGATTACAGATGAAATCCATAAAGATAGTGATTGCATGACCATTAAGAGAAAGGACGCATCCGAATTTCTATTTCATTGTCTCGAATCTTGCGAGTAAGCGCGGTGATGGGTCGGTCCAGGGAGTCTAGAATGAAGTTGTTGGTGTTGATGCTGATTCGGGTGCTGGTGCTGGTGCATTGGGTGTAACCCTTGTTGTTGCGGTCCCTGATTGGGGTGGGGAGCAACAATACCAGAAGAATAAGAAGGTCCGCCTGGGGAAGGTTGGTGCAAAGCGGATGGTGGAGTGTAAGGTCTCCCAAGATTTGCGTTCTGATGCGGGTTCGGTGAAGAAATCGAGATATTGCTGGATGTCCGATGAGCCGGTTGTAGGTGTGACGGATTGTGACCGAATGAACTAGTACTATGTTGATTTCCTAGACCAAGAGGGGAGATATGTTGAGGGTGATGTTGCTGTTGCTGTTGGTGGTGTCGGGGCTGGTGCTGGTGCTGCTGCTGTTGAGATTGGCGTAGTGATGATGTGGGGTGATGGTGAGGGGACGTAGGCGGAACAATGTGCTGCATGTGTTGAGACCCGCTGCCACTCTGTCCATTATGCTGGGGGTTGTGTCCAAGCTGATGCCTAGCTGAAGAATGATGCTGACGTTGCGGTGGCTGACTCAAGTGGCTCTGAGTATATGAAGAGTGCTGCTGCGTTTGGGGTAGGGCTGATGCTGAAATGTGGAGTGGGGAAGATGGCTGCTGTTGCTGCTGTGATGTCCGTCGAGAATAAGGTACTGAGGTGTGACGATGCTGTGGGGAAGATGGATGAAAAGGCTGGGCTTGTAATGTCAAGGGAGAATCACGTTTCCCAAGGTTAATATTTGACTGATGTTGAGATTGGCCCTGGAACCCGGCGGGCTGAGATTGCTGTACCGGCTGTGAGGGTTGCGGGTTGTATGACGAACGGTGCTGCTGCTGTGCCTGCTTGTGAAGATTCGACCCCGAGTTTGTGGCCTGTTGTGCGGTGCTCATGTATCCTAGGGATGGGGCTTGCTGAGCTGGTAAACGGGAAAGACCATGGTCGGTTGCTTGAGACTGTTGCTGACCCCTCGGGTCTAGCCTGGCCATCCAATCCTGGGTCGCCGTCCCAGATCCAGTCACAGAGCCAACAGAATAGCTAGAATATTCGGGGTATGAGCGGGAGGGAGTATTTGATAGTTGATTTTGTTGCGGTACTTGTGACTGCTGGGGCAGATAGTGCGACCTTTGATGCTGTAGCTGCCTGCTAGAGTGTACCGACTCTTCGCGAGGGGGAAGTTGCGATTGCTGAGACATTGAATGTGATATGGAGTATAACTGTGGAGTATTTGCCGCTGAGGATTGGTCACTCGCAAACTTCTTTCGAGACGGTGGTTCTTCAGCATCATCATTTAAAATGTTCATGATATTTGACCTTTTAGCAGGAACTTGACGTGGAGGCTCTGGAAAAACTTGTGCCGGGGTCGAGCTTGGACGAGCGGGTTCTTTGGCTGGTGATACCGCAGGTGACTGTTGCTTTATACCTATAAGTTGGCTAGGATGGGGAAGAGCTGATTTCGGTTGCACGGTCGTATCGTCACGTGGAAGAGAAGCTGAATCGAAGTCCTGTTTGGGCATGCGCTGCACAGGAGATGTGGCTGTCGGTGTAGGAATAGCTTTGCTCGAACGTCTCGAATGTGTCCGTGCTACCGGGGTGATCGGGCTGTTTGTCTGGGACTGCTGAAGGTACTGGGTTTGAGAGTATAACGCCGGCTGCGCTAGTGACTGATACCGTAGCACCTCTTGAGCCTCTTGAGGCTGGGGCAGCAAATCGCTACGAGACAAATTTTGGGCATGTAAGGCGGAACCTCCACCATGACTTTGCATGGGGGCCGTATTCGGCTGCTGCTTCTGGCTTTGGGACTCCTGAGACTGTACGGTGAGCACCGGGGGGATAGGCATTAGGTGGCGCCCATCTCGTCGTTCGTCACTGAAATATCCGACTCGAGGGCCTTGCTGATTGCGCTGGGGTTGGTGCGGCTGGGGACGAATGGAACGCGGTTGCAATTCGTCGTTCACGGGTGGTACGGGAACCCCAGAGGCAGCTGTCGCTTGCGCAAGAGGATAAAACCTAGGCTGAGACTGATCCCTATCGGCTTGCGGCCGAGATTGAGTGGCTGGTTGGTGTGCCGCAGCTAGAGGGACTGCCGGGACCTTTGGTTTGGGGGCCAGCGATGCATCTGCTGGCTCCGTAGCTTCAGTGTTTGGTGCGAGGGGGCGTGGAGCGACAGAAGATGGTGTAGCTTCGTATCGCCGTTTAGGAGGGATATTTGGAATTGGTAGCGGACCTGGCGGTTCTCCACTCAACTTCTTCGCCTCAGCCATCTCAGCGTACTCCTCCAACAATGTTTGGCCAGAATCAACACGTCTCTGGAAGTAGTTTTTGACCTAATTGAGGTGTGTAACGAGTTAGCTAGGAAGTTGCGCCGGCTATCATATTTAAGGGATACTCATACCATTGTAGGAGTTTTGGTCCTCATATATTGGGAGATAGCCTCAAAATCTTTCCCGAAGTGCCTGATTAGATCTGGAAATTCTCGTTGCTCCGGTACAGACCAGTAACTAGTGGGCTGGAGAGCACCAGATCTGGGTTCGGCGGGTTTTGCTGGAGCTTCGGGTTCAGCAGCGTCGAAAACATAAACGGTTTCCTTGCTGCGAGCCTTTGTAGATTTTGCTCGGGGAACTACCTCATCGGCAGCGATATCCTTCTGTTCTTTCTTCTCCTTCGCAATCGGCAATTCTGGTACTGCATCTGCTGGCCCTTCTGGTTCAACTTTTGGAGGAGCTGAAGCAATCGGAGTCGCAAGTGAAGATTGCTGTGCCTTTGCTCGCCTGCCACCGCGTCCGCCTCCTCCCCTTCCGCCACGTCTGCTGGGAGGTTTCTCCACTCCCGGCTCAGCGGGATCCTTTCCGTGATTCCCTCTTTTCCCAGAGCTTGGCGTAGGTGTGTTATTCTCTGTCTCTGGACCAGCTTCGCCGAACGTTGGGGCCGCCGCCCGTCGAGGTCGGCCAGTATCAGTGACAGCGGGAGTTTCCACTTCCTCACCTTCGTATTCGGGCCGAACACCAAGATCTGACATGAGGGCGTTTGATTTTGGATTCCTGGTAGCAGGAGCCCTTTTTCCACGTCTTCGAACATATTTTCTGTTCAATTTGGCCTTATACTTGAATTCCTGCTTTGTGAAGTAGTAATGATTGATGCATGCCTGGAAGTCCCGGCCTGGAAGATATTCCGCAATTTTGCCCCACTTTTTGGGATGCTCTAAAAATGCTTCCGTAAAAATCTTTTGTTCCTCGGGGGTGAAATTGTCCGGCGTCGGGTGGAACGCGAAAACTTCATATGCAGCAGAAGGGTCTACGGTGTGGTTCGTATCCTTGAAGATAAAGGCTTGTTTCTCGTGTTCGTCGAACATATCTGGGATAAGCGCTTCTTTAGACGTATCCGGCCTTGCGGGCCCTTCTTTTTCGCGTCGACGTGCTTGCTCTTCCCGCGCAGTAATGGTAGATGCGATCAGCGCATTTTGGAAGTCAAGCTCGCTGTTAAGTTTGTAACCTCTTCGTCCTTCGGCGGTGGTGCTTGGAGTAGTAGCCGTTCCCGTAGCCGACGGCGGGGTGGGTGGACCTGGGGTGGTTGTCTTTTCTTGTCTACTCGTGCGATCTAGTTCCTCCACGGCAATCCTCCAAGGCTTATAATACTTAGCATACTCCCGTCGTAGCTCCTGATGATGGAGAGCTATTTCTTTACGCTGCTTGGCTAGCTCCCCGCGAAGAGCCTCTCTCAACCGGTCATGCGTCTGGATCGTTTCCTGATAAGCCTCTAGGTCAGAAAACGGAGTGGGTGGCCCAGATTGGAGGAAGGGAAGGTTATCGACTGATGGAACTTCGAGAGACGGGGCAGTGTGAGCCTGGGCCACTGGTGACGAGGGCTGCGGGATTTCAATTCCTTGGGCCTCCTTTGCTGACACTGGAATGACAGCTGGAGGTTGGTCCGGCCTTTCGACCTCAATCGCTGCATCTGGCAGGTCCATATAGGTTGGGGCAACCCCCTCGGCTATGATACCCAGCATTTGAATTTGTAACAGTAAGTCAACTATAACGGGATCATGAAGGGTTGGAGGTGGCATTTCGGATGTCAACGCTTGCATTTCCTTTGCAAATCGCTTCTCTCCCTCATTGAAGTCTTCTTCATCCAAGTCGTCTTCCTCGTCTGTTTCTTCACCACTGGATTGTCCAAACATGAGAGGAGTAGCAACTTGGTCCGCTATCGACGAAATTGAGGCACGTGGTGCGTGATCTTCCGAAGACACGGTCGCAGCTGCTCGGACGACATTGTTTTCAGCGTGGCTCGGAGGACGGTCGGTTCGCTCAGCAACTGGTGACGACTTGGAATCTTCCCGATGGGGATAACGCTCAAGTTCGTGAGGTTTATAAGGGTCAGACGCGCCAAAAGACCACCCTCTGTCCTTGTCGTCAAATACGTCACGTTTGATAGGTGATACTGAATTCATGATCGAAGGTCCACGATTTGAATACCCTGGGCGAACCCATTGGTTACTGACTTTAGGGGCGTTCCTTGGCGCATTGGGTCGCTGGAGAGCCCGTGGTCCCGTGGGTACGCTTGCGAAAGAGATTCCGGGAGACGTCTTCGGTCCTGGTGACTTAAATGGGGCGGCTGACGGAACAGGGGGTGAACCAGACCTACGGGATAGTGAAATACTTCTTCCCATTGATTGTGAAGTAGGCGGGGATCCTGATGAGGAGCTAGGTCGGGGGCTAACCCGTACCCCGAGAGGCAATTCCTGAGTCCTCGCATCTGCCTGAAGCGATGATTGAAGTGAATCTCTTGCGCTAGATGCACTCGCGAAACCAGGACCATCGCGCGTAGTAATAGTCGGAGATCTAGATGAGGACGGAAAGTGCCGTGCAGGGCGCAGTGGCACCTCAGCTTTCCCTCGAGTATCCAGACCATGCGGACGGGAGACGCGGGTGTCGTGTGAATGTTCAAACTCCGACCTCTCAGCTCTTGGTCCAGTAGGCGGTAATATCCCAGTTGGTAACGAAGCGGAAACATCCATGTGTTCCTTTTCTGGCTTTGCGGTAGTCGATGCTGCAGTGGAGAGTTCATCAAATGGCCTGGATTTGGTGGACGAGGTAAAGGGAGAATCATCGGACGCTGGTTTGGGACTAATGATAGATCCGAAGGCAGGGACTTCTGGTGGAGATGGGGGAGAAGAGCTTTGTGAGATTGGCCGGTCCTTTGGTGCGTCTAAGCGAATTGTAGGATGTTCCTGTCGATCTGGCTCATGCCGAGAATCGCCCGTACTTTGTGCGGGGACTGCGGATTTCCTATTTGAATCATGGATTTCGGGGATGACAGTCCTTTTGGCACTGAGTATAGATGACGACGATGGCGTGGGCGATGCAGGTGGGATGGTCGCTAATGTTGCAGATGTACTTTTGGATTCGGTCCTAGCTAATAACATATCTTTTTTCCACAAGTCTGAGCGTTCAGAAGGCCGGTCTCTTTCTCTATCCTCTCGTTCCGATCGCCGATCATCTTCACGCCTATCGAACCGATCAGAGCGTTCCAAGTCCCTATCTCTATCGCGGTCACGGTCGCGATCACGTTCACGGTCGCGATCACGTTCACGATCCCTCCATGCATCCCTCGAACGGCTCCGTCGTCGGAACGAGTCGCGATCATCTAGAAAGCCCCGACCCCTACCCCGCTCACGGTCGCCACGACCTCGACCTCGCAGAGACGGGCCACGAAGAGGAGATGCATCCTGGACTCCACTCATGGAACCGACAGGCCCATCTCTGGAGTTGCGACGCATTCTTGGCGCATCGGAATCCCGAGGGCCAGGTTCTCTAGAATCGCGAAAGTCCCGTAGTGGAGGTGACCTCGATCTTCCACGGCCAAAAGGAACGCGGGCATCTCTAAAATCAAAACCGCGGTCTCTCCGGGACCAGTCTCTGTCGTTATCCCGTCTGAATGGAGGGAGACCATCTCGCAGATCCCGGGGATCATGATCCCTCTCACGATCTCGAAATTCGCCTCGTGCTAGGAAGCCCCTTCCTCTAGGACCGGAAGGGCCAAAGGGCGCACCCCTTGGCGGATCTATTAGAGCTTTTGGACCACGAGGGGGTTCCCTTCCCAGAGGTGTTGAATTGACATCGTCAGAAACACGAGGGCCAGAAGGGATATGCGAGGAGCCGTGAGGAGCGGAGGGACGGCGGTCGTTATACCGATGTGGTGATCGTTCTCGGGGCGGAAAGCGAGACGCCATGAAAGAAGTTGCCCATTCAACAAAGACCGCTCAAAAGAAACACGAAGTAAAGGGTGTTAGAGCGTAGCTGTCGCGTTGAATGGAGAGTTGTATGATTGCAAAGTGTCAGATCAAGCGTCGTTAAAACGTAGTCGCTCGTCGACGCTTTGGGAAATCCCGAGTAAGAAGCCCACGTGATCTTTAAAATAGCCAAGTCCGAAACCTTGGAAATCTACGGTGATAGCAAACCTTTCCCCTTTAAGACTAGTGGTGTAACTACTGGAGGTAGCATTGAACCTTGTTCAACCCGTACGCTGTACGGAGTACACAGTAAACAATGAGATATTGGAAAATGGAACAACCAGCGCTGATGGTGAGATATAATGACAACAGATGAGAGAAAAAGAGAGATCCAAAGGTACGAGGCTAGTGAGGGCGATGGCACTTCACGCTGTATTCCGAGAGAGTGTTGGTTTTGCGAATGTGAGGAAAAACAGACGGACAAACACTTGATCGACAGCCAAGCAAGAGAAACCAATAGACTAGTTTGAGGAGCAGAGTTCTGGTTCCATGATTCAAAAGCTCGATGGTAACGAAGTAAGCATAATCCCACTACGAGAGGAGTTATGGGAGGAAGAAGGGGGAAGGGGGAAAATGGAAGAGGTTGATGATGGGGGAAAAATTGAGGCCTTGAAACGGCAATCGGGAAGACCGGCAGGCAAGAGACAGCAGGGGATGGGTCGGAGTGGCTCTCTTAGTAAAGCAGGGAGTTCGTTCTCTATCATTATTCATCCCCATGTCATACCGCAGGCTGCGCAACCTGGGGTCACATGAGGCCTGAACATTTCCTCTCAAGCGCTTCGAATGGATCTATGGAGGGATGCAGCATGCTAGGATATCAAGAAGAATCAACCAGTCACAGGCGTTGATGGGGAGTATTCAACAGGCACTGGCCCAAGTTTGAAGGAAATTAGGCAGTGGACCACGCATAATAACCTGGCGGCTATGGATTACGTTAAAACGATTGACCTTACATGTATTCCAACACTCGTCGGACAAACCAAAACGATACCGCGCAAACAAGGTGTCAAGTATCGATTGTGCACAACCCACCGGCCCAGGCTCGAGTGGGTCGGGTTAGTGCGCCTGTTGTCAGGCGTCTATTGGCTGGAGAATTAAAGACGGGCAGGGATCGCTGGGCCTGGCCAATGGGCCATTGGAGCTGCAACTAGACCGCTTTTGGGTTCGGAACAACTTGAGCTCCGATTCAAAAAAGTGCGGTCTCGTATTTCGGTTCCTCAATCTTTGAATTATTTCTATACATTTTCCTCCCTTTCTTTTCCTTTGTGTTCGCTAATTGCCAGGGGCTGTATGGAAGCTAGCGTCCGGAAAATTGGTGGCATGTTTTGTTCCGAGATTGTCGATAATCTGCCACTTTTCAATGCAGAAGGGTCCGCAAGCCAAAAAAAAAGCTGCTGGTATAGCAATTTTTCCCAGCCAATTGCAACAACCGATCCATTGGCAGCTTTTCTCAGCGCCCATACAGAACATTGTACTCTGTGTAGTTCAACGCAGATACCATGACTTCGCAAGCTGCAGGACTTCCCCCCTCGGTCACAGATGCGGTGTTCGTCGCCTCCCAGCCCGTTCCTGAGGGTTCAAAACCGGTTGGGGGCATTGATTTCAACAAGCATGCCGGAAGGGATATTACTGTTGCGGAGTTGGTGGATGGCATGGCTTCCATGGGCTTCCAGGCCAGTGCGGTGGGCGACGCTGCGCAGATCATTAATGAGATGGTATGTACGTGCACACTGCATTCCGCCCCTCCTCACTACCCCTCCGAGGCCTCTCCCAACAAACTTCAAACGTCAATCTTCCAGCGCAACGCCGAGCCAGCCACTGCGGGACATGCCTATTTGTCTAACAGGGTGTTGGTTATCCCTATTTTAGAGAGCCTGGCGCGATCCGGAAACGGGCGAAAGGACCACTGTATTCCTAGGGTACACATCCAATCTTATATCATCTGGTCTACGGGAAACACTGCGTTACCTCGTCCAGCACAAACATGTCTCGGCCATTGTCACTACCGCGGGCGGAATAGAGGAAGATTTTATTAAATGTCTCGCTCCCACTTATCTCGGCTCCTTCGCGACTCCCGGTCCGTCGCTACGGGCCAAAGGCCTGAACCGCATCGGTAACCTGATCGTGCCGAACAGCAACTACTGTGTTTTCGAAGACTGGGTCGTGCCGATTCTCGATAAAATGTTGGAAGAACAGGAGGCGTCACGGGCGTCGACACCAGATGCCCCGCTCCACTGGACCCCGAGCAAGATCATCCACCGGCTCGGGAAGGAAATCAATAATGAAGATTCGGTCTACTACTGGGCGTACAAGAATGACATTCCCGTCTTCTGCCCTGCACTGACCGATGGCAGCCTGGGGGACATGATGTATTTTCACACGTTCAAGTCCTCGCCGCTGCAGCTCCGTGTCGACATCGTGGAAGACGTGCGGAAGATCAATACGATCGCTGTACGGGCCAAACGGGCTGGGATGATTATTCTAGGTGGCGGCCTGGTAAAGCACCATATTGCCAATGCCTGCTTGATGCGCAACGGGGCGGAGAGCGCGGTGTATATCAACACGGCGCAGGAGTTTGATGGGAGCGACGCTGGCGCACGACCGGACGAAGCTGTGTCGTGGGGGAAGATCAAACCGGATGCAAAGAGTGTGAAGGTAGTTATTCATTCATTTTTATTCCTTTTTATTCCTACTTTGTTCCTTTGTTCTTCCCCTTTTTTTCCCTTGCCGTAGGGCCGAACCCCGGCCTCAACGAAAGATCACCGAAACAATTCTAAAACTTACTTGCTGTAGTTTTCTGAGCTGACCATTCAATTTTCGATGGTAATAGGTCTACGCCGAAGCGACAGTGGCATTCCCCCTTATTGTTGCGGCGACATTTGCAAGAGCTTAGGAGCAACCTGGGAATTAGAAGGGTGTTTGGTTGCAAAAGTAATTTGTTTCACCCGACACATCGCCCCTTCAAGTACCTTCATGGCTTAAATAAATATATATATATGTAGAACCGCTGTTGGTACATAGCACCCACCGAGCAGGAAATGACCTCTATGTTCAATGACGTTTTCAACGCTGGCAGAAGATGTGTTCAGATCGTTAAGTTGTGTATGTAGTTATGTATTTGATATCGATTGTTACTCTGATGCCTAGCTAGACCCTCCTTCAAATTCTTTTCCATTTGAATTAGACAACCAAGGATCTATCACAATCAGAAGCAAGGAAGCCAAACGATCGGAGAAGAAACCATGGCAAAAACTAAAATAAAAAATAACAATAAAAATAAATAAAATAAATAAAATAACATAAAATAAAAAAATAAAGGGCCAATGAGAAGCCACATATGTTGCGTCCTACGTGTTTCACGAAATGCGGACACGGGAGAAGATAAGCCTTCCTTGGAAGTCTCATGCAAGGAATGAATAATGCCAAGGATTTCAAAGGGCTGGGCGCTAGGGCTTTTAGAGACACTTACATATATTATTAATTAATTCTTGGTTAATGCATCCAAGAGGAAGGAAATCTTCGCATTGCATGGGTCTTGTTGGGGGAAGCGGCAGGCTAGGGGATCGCAAAGCGAGAGAGCTTTCAGCCTTGAAGGCGGTGTTGTCCTTTTGTTGTTTTTTGATGTTGATGTTTGTTGAATGAAGCCTGGGGTTTTGGGCGGTGTGACTCACGCAGGCTCCACCCGCGCAAGCAAAGCAGTGACAGACTCATCCGTACTGGCTGGCAGTCAGGGTTTGCGCCAACTCTGGTTTTATTATTATTTATTTTTTCCTCGTGAGCGAACAAGCGAAACATCTTCAGCGCACGAGCTACAATAAAACAAGAATAATATATAAGCCAGATGCTCTGGCGGGAAGCACAGTACGGAGTAACTCCATCGCAGAGGAGACAAACCTCTCAGCACAGGCAACAGCCAGCGAATGGTCCCAAAACAGTCCCTGTTGCTTGCTTGTGCTCCACTCTCCTCCAGGCTAAGTCTCCTATGCCAACTACTTAGCTAGGCCCCTAGGGAGATACATATGTACGCTGTCTATCTGTCCTCCCCACTCCCCGGCCCCAAGCTGGACCCTCCCATGGGTGGAGACCGAGGAATCTGGAGAAAAAGTAGCATATTCGGTAGTAATCAGTTATATATGTCATAATATGAAATAATAAGTACAGAACTTCGTACTATATGTTATTATTGAAAGCAGACATGGAGCAGAGTCTACTTACATGGGCGTGATGGATAATATAAGGCTGCAACAGCAGTTTGTTTCCAAGGAGTTTGCTGTCAACTTGTGTCAAAGCAAGCAAAACCTCAACTCTATCTCTGGCTCGAGCCCGTTGGTTGGTTTGCCACTGCCAGTCGGTGGGGTTAGTTAGTGTTAATATCCATGGCATGGGCCGGGCTGTAGTTACTTTAGCTCGTTGGAGGATTGTGGGTGATCCCTGATGACAAGTGATGAGCTTGGTTGACTTGCTGTGGCTTCTGCCTGTGCGAATAATAGTTAATACTTATACATACCAAGCTCACTTAGATGATTGGTGGATGATTGGTGACTGGCTGAACGAACTCAGCTCAGACAGAAGCTTTTGAACGTCCAACGAGGCTCAACTTTGCTCAAGGCAGCCGTGCCCTTTGAGGTTGAATAAATATATAGTTACACACCAGCACAGCGTCACTCGTCGTTTTTATATGGTCTTTAGTGGCAGGAGTTCCAAAAGAGAGATATTGAACACCAGACTTCCAGAGACGAAGAAGAAGAAGAAGAAGAAGAAGTACATGTACTTAAACTCATAGCTTTTCTTGCTCGTTCTTCGAAAAGTGAGGCTTGCAGAGTTGCTGTCCTCCGGCCAATCACGCGCGGGTTGGCCAAATCTCGGTGTGGTCTCGTCTTCTGGTCTTCTCGTCTCTGCTTCAGCTTGCGGCTTCAACTTCAACCTCTTCTCACCCCGACATCTCTTCATCTTTTCATCTCTTCTTCTATCCCCCTCGCCCCATTCACCACCATCCACACTGCTCCTCTTACTCCTCCTTGTCCCCCCAGCCTGTTCGTTTCCTGTTGGCTTGAATCTGTCTCTCACTGCTGCTGCTGCTGCTGCTGCCGCCGCCCTAGCTTGGGCTTGGCCTCTTATCTTCCCTCCCTCAGAACCGTTGGCGATTTCTCTTGCCCGTGAACTTATATTATTTTGATTCGCTTGTTCATCGTTTTTGAGTCAGAGAGCTCCAACTAGGTGCTCACCTCATTTTTAGCCTCCCGTGTTGGTTGTTGTTAGTCATTATATCCGCTCTCAGTTGGCTTCCTGTTGTCTGATGCATATTGAAATACCCCGTAAACCCATCGCCAAAGCTAACTTGCTGAGCCGCACATCTTGATCTCTTTTGCACCCATCACAGTTTTTATTATTGATCTCTTCTTCTTTACTTCCAAATATCCCTTCTCTGGCAGCAGAAACCGCAGCCTGCCAAGTGATCGAACCCGTCAAGCAATGGATGTTGCCCCAGCGCTTCCCCACACTTCGCCCTCGCTCGAACCCTCCCAACAGTCTCGTTCTCCTTTTTCCTCGCAAGCCGTCATGCCTCCGTCTTCTCCTTTCCAATTCGCAACCACTACAGCCCCTCAGAGCACATCCGCCCCAGATCGACCGGCACAATCCCAAAATGTCGACCATTCCGCACACAATTTTTATCCCCCAACCGCTGCCTCCAGTCCTTCTCCCGATTCAGATCTTCAGTCAACTCCGCAGCAACCTTCGCAAGGGGACTCTATGGATACTACCTTAGACATTCCACAACCACAACCACAGCCACAAGCACAACTACAACCAGATGAGAGCTTCTCGAGCACTGTTCTCTCGGAGTCAACTGCTGAGCCTGAAGCAATTACCTCGGTCCCTGAAGTCATGGAAACTGAGCCAGCCCCAACCCCCGAAGTTGTCAATGATGCTGCTCTGCCAATTGTTAACTCATCTTCAACCGATGCTGAGCCTCCTACAACCACGGCTACTGAAGAAATCGTGCCCGCATCGAATGTGACGGGTGCGTCAGACAACGAGAATGACCCCCACGTAGAACCTTCATCGGAACAGCCCTCATCAGACCAGCCCTCGCCTCAAGATTCTGCTGATAGCCCGCCCGAACAGAATAACTCACAGGATGACCTCCAGAGCATTCCCCCAGACTCACCCAGCAGTGAGGAAGAACATGCTTACTGGGCTGATATAGAGCAGGACACTTCGTCCCCCGATGAAGGGGAAATCAAGGAAATTGAGTCTGGCGACGATCACAGTGCCTTGGATTGTAAGTATCTAACACCTTCGCTACCCTTCCAAGATACCTTGGGACCAAAAGAACCAGTCTACGAGACACACTGTAGCTTGCTAACTTGTTCAATGTAATCTGCTATCCAGATGATTATTGGGAAAAGACCTTCTATAGTGAACTTGATGACCCCGAGTATACACCCGCAGAGAAAGCCCGCCTCACCTGGAAATTCAAAGGCGTACGAGGCACGAAGGAAAAACCAAACCGTGCTACTATAATGAGATCACCAGCCGCCTTCATTGGTGGCCTTTACTGGAGAATAAAATTTTTCCCTAGAGGTAATAACGTAGAGTCTCTGAGCATATACGTTGAGTCTTCCCCCACCCCCCCTGAACAGGACAAAGATATCCCCGAGACCGAATTCAAAGTTTTCAAAGGTCCCCCAAATGCCGTACTGAGTGATTTGGTGCCGGAGGTTGATATAACTCTCCCAGCTACGGCTGACTCCTGTAGGGAGGCTCCAACAGCTCCAGCCTCCGCTTCTCAGGACGACGAGAAACAAGAACCTCCCGCTGCAGGTAATACCCAACATATACCTATAGAGGAGCCAACGAGTGAGCAGTCGAGAGAACTTCCACCATCTGAAGCATCCCAGGATTGGAGGGTATCGGCTCAAATAGGCGTCATCGTATACAATCCCAATGAACCTCGAACCGCTTACATGCAGTCCTCGTGTCACCAGTTTAACATAAATAACGTGGATTGGGGCTGGACAACTTTCCATGGCCCTTGGAACAAGATCCATGTACGACAACGGGGCCAGAGGCAAGCTCTGCTTCAAAACGACACTCTCGCCTTCGATGCCTACATTCGAATTATCGACGATCCAACCCAGTCACTGTGGTGGCATTCAAGCGAATGTGAGCCTATCTGGGATAGTTTGAGCCTGACTGGTTATCGGCCCATGGGTGCCTCTAACGTGGAATATAGCTTTGAGGCTGCTGGTTTGGTATCGTGGCTTCTCCTCGCACCTTTCCGGGAAATTATTCAGAGCGTGGACGTCCTGGAACATATCACCACACCAGGTGTTAGACCTAGACCATTGTGCGAGGCCTTGCAGAAGCTATTATGGGTTTTGCGGACACCACATCTACCGCAACTTTCAGTTGATACCGACTCGGTCACTAAAACGCTTCGAAATTTGGAGGAATTCTCAGGGGACGTGATGGAGTTTTGGGAGAGGTTTCGACGCTCACTTGAATTAGAACTGGAAGGGACTGATGCCGTTCAGAAGATGGCAAAAATATTTGACGGTGAGGCAACTGACGAGCAGCCTGACACCGTCAACTGTTTCCGCGGAGACTTCAACTCGAGAATTAAAATTTCGGCGGAAACTTCAAACAACGTGGAATCTGCCGTGAAACAGTATCTCAGCGACAAACCCGGAAAGTGGTCACTGCCTACTGTTCTCCATGTTGAGCTCTCTCGCCAGAAATTCGACAAGGCCAGCCGCCAATGGAAGTTTATTTCGCGACGAGTTCGGTTAGATGAAGAACTCGATCTGTCGGATCTTGTTGTTGAGCCTCAATCTGGAAAATACAGCCTTTACGGGTTTGTGGTCTATAAGGGCGAGCGGACTTCTGCGCACTACTACAGTATCCTCCGTCCTGGTGGACCGGGATCGCGCTGGCTTGCGTTTGAAAATGAAGGCGACAGCAAGATCGAGTGTCTGACCACCAAGGCGGCGATTGACGCTCATGAAGGCATCTCACCCCACGACGAAATCGACGATCACAGGTCCAGACATGATGTTGCCGTTGTTGTCATGTATGTTCGAAATGACGTCCTGCCCCAGTTCCTGACTGGAAAAATCGAACCGTGGGATATTCCTGAGACAAGACAGTATTTTTTTGAATCTGGACATTTGCCATTCACTTCGTCGCCCTCGGTTGCCGTTGAGGTATATTCCCTCGGTGACCTCTCTCTGGTGGGCAATAACTTATTTGACATTTATGACTTGATGGATACTTCTAGATCCGTTGGTCGATTTCTACATTTTACCCTGCCAGCAAGGACAACAATTGCAGAGTTAAGAGACAAGCTAGCGCTGTGGCAGTCGAATGAGGATACAGAGGTGAAACCGCAAGATATCCGCCTGTGGCGGATTGGCCGTCCAAAATCGTGTTTCGCCCCCACCTCGCAGCTCACAGCTATTCAAGATCTCTCTCAATCCTTGGTGTGTTCTGAGATGGACGTTTTGCGCCTGTGGATGCACGTCCTGACTAAAGGTAAGCTGCGTATAGTTGTCACGTATAACGACCTGAGTGCGTTGAGGCGTTTCTCCATAACCAATTCTAACCGATTATTCTCAGATGGTGCAAAATTATTTGCTGTACCCAATCCACTAGCCCCTGCCGGCGCATTTGAAAATGAACAGGTCGCTGAGGAAATTGCAGAACCCGTGGATGAGTCGAGTAACCCTGTAGATGAATCTCCACTGGAAGGTCAGGATCCCCAGGAAGCCCAGGATGTCGACATTGCTGATTCAAACACCTCTACCGATCTGCTGCAAATGGAGGAAGGTAGTGATGCTACTATGATACCTTCTAGCCAGTCATCCGAAGGCGTACGAGTAGCCGATGAGACGGAGACACCGGGGCCCGAAACCTTGCTGCCCTCTGATAACAACAACTCATCCGATGGCACCCATCAGGATCTCAACAACCCCAGAGGCGAAGATGTTCAAATGACTGACGCAGAGCCCGACGCTAATACCTCGCAGCACCTGCAAACAGAGCCGATTGATGCAGAGGCAAATTCAGAGGACGTAAATATCTTCCAGGAAATTGCGATGGGAGCTGCCAACGAAGCATCCACCGTAACTGACCCAACTGCAGATCCGGTGGCGCAGGCGACCACACCAGAACGGTCGGGCGAATTTCAGGCCGGCGACGAAACTGGCTCAGCCGAACTTGCAAGTACTAATACCGAACATGTTTCTACGCCCGCTCCTTCTCGAGAAGACTCGGTCATGCAAGATGCTGCCCCTGGAAATCCATCGGACGTTTCAACCAACGAGAGCTCAGCCGCAGTTCCGATGACAGGGAACCCAGAGAACGACATCAATGAAATTGCTCCACTGCCACTGGAGAATCTAATTCATCCTCCTGTCCGGCTGACTGCCCAAGTATATTATTTTGTCCAGATATTTGACTTGGAGAAACAAGAATTCCGCTTTGCCGGCGTTTTCTTTGGTAAAAGAAGTAATTCCATTAAAGCTTCAGTTCGTGCCGCTCTTGGATGGCCGGATGATAAATCCTTCAACCTTTGGCATCGTGCTGATTGCATATCGATCTCGTCCATCTCCAGCAAGGAGAGATTTAACACAGTTTTAGCTACCGATCAAGATGGTGAATGTTTCATTGTTGAGGAGGTGTTACCAAAGTCACAGTATGTAATGTCCGACTGTTCATCTTTTAACATGTATTTCTTTCTTTTCTTGTCTTTTTTTTTTTCTTTTTTTCTTTTTTTCTTTTTTTTTTTTCTTTTTCCTTTTTTCTTTTTTTTTTCTTTTTTCTTTTCTTTTCTTTTTCTTTGGCATTGCTAATGTTGCAAACTGTGACAGATGCACGAAAATTTCAGAAAGTGGTTCCTTCACCAGTCCCAGTTTGCTAGCTCAGTATCTTCGGGCTTTATCTCGGCGGCATCCAACGCAGTCTTTCACTGGCACGAAAACCATTGATGCTGTTTTTAATGGTGAGTATTATTCCGGGGAATTCAGTAAGGGATACTATCATGGCAAAGGTACTCACATATCAAACTTGGGTGCGACCTATACTGGCGATTTCGTCCTGGGACAACGCCATGGAAAAGGTGTCCTGGAGTCCCAATCCGGCGATACGTACGACGGGGATTGGTTCGAAGATCAGCAAAATGGGCAGGGAACGTTCATAGAACGCAGGACTGGGAACAAGTACGTTGGTGGCTTCCGCGCTGGCAAGCGCCATGGGAAGGGCATCAGTTACTGGGAAGTTGCCGCTGAAGAAATGGGCCTCTGCCAAATTTGCTACAGCGAGGATCAAGATGCACTATTTTACAGCTGTGGCCATGTCTGCGCATGTGTCAGTTGTGCCAAACGGGTTGACAAATGCCCCATATGCCGGAAGAAGGTCGCCAATATCGTGAAGATTTACCGCACTTAAATACGGCCTGGGGGTGCTGGCCAGTCTTTTCTACCATCTCATGCCGATTTTGAGAATGTTCAGATGAATGATGCTTCTGGGAATGATGATCTCGCTCTTGTTTTTGCTTGACTCTTTGGGTTCCCTCTCGTCTTTCCGTTTCCTGTTCATTATCTTTTTTTCTCCCCCCCCCCCCCCCCCCGGCCCCGCTTAAGGTGACATTGATTGCCCCGAGCGGCGACGACTTGGTTTCAGCTTGAGGGTTATGCCCGCCTCTGTTTACCTGCTCTGCTTCTTACCTGTTTATTTTGACGACTATGTGCCCGTTTTCGCGCGCCCTTCCACAGTTATTTTAGCGATGATCATTGTTAGCGAATCCCCTTCAAGATCTATATATCGTATCGTAATTCCCTAACCCGTCTTGTTTATCATTTTACCACTCTTGCTTGGTTTCGATCTCCACCTAAAATTCTAGATTCAGATACAGCTTCGTCATTGCTGATTTCGGTATTGTCGGTTCCTTGGAAGCGACCATTTTTGGATGAATATTGTTTCTATGTACATACACTAAGAGTAGAGCGAACTAGTTGTTAATTTGGAAAATGGCTTAAGTTGGAAAAAAGAACTTGGTTATAACTCAGCGTGGTTTGCGCCCCCTGATCTCTTTCCACAACAACATTAACCTAGTCAGTTGTCTGAATGCGAGAGTTTTCATCTAGATCATATTTTAAAACGGTGAAGAAAAATTCCGTTGACAGAAATGGATCTGACATGTGTGTAAAATGTGGCCCATGTACCCTCCGCGCCAGTGAGAATGAGCAATAGTGTCGCAATAGCACAGGCACGGATTATTAGAAATGATTAATATTATCGAAATACGTAACATCCAAATGAACATGGACTGTCTAAGGTATATGGCGCGGATACCACTATACATTTATCGATGACTGATACCCTATTTATTCCCCCCCCCCCCCACCCCCCAAGGCCTGCTCCTTTGTGAGACCTTCTCTCCCTTGTTTCGTCTCTTCTTCAGCCCCCGTGAGCAGTGACCACGGACATCATTTTTTCTTGTTTTATCTCTTAGATTCTTTGGTTTTTTTTGGTTTCCCCTTCAGCACTGCCTTAGGGTTCAGCCCTTTTCTCCGCAGTTTATTTCGCTCAGCTCTTGCAATATATGTCGCATCTTCTTCCTCGTCAAAAGGTCCGAAAGGTTCGTTTTCAATCTGCTTCTCCTTCTCCTCGTCTATAATAGGAGCTCTGTCAACCACTTCCTCCGCCTCCTCGATTTCGGACTTGGATCCGTTTGTACTTGATTTCTCCGCCGATTTAGGACTGGGGCCCATTTTCTTCAGCTTGCAAACATAGAAGCCATCAACGTTTTCCCGATGAGGGTAGTAGCGCCTCGTGAGCGGCATTTTATCGTCAAACTTCTTTCCCATGTAACTCTTAAAGCCAGGGCTTCCAAAATTTCCCAAGCCAGTATCCACGATCTTGACATTAGGTCGCTTGCGGAGAGCATACTGTACAACCCCTTCGTTTTCTTCCACGGTCACACTGCAAGTAGAGTACACAATATATCCACCGGTTTTAGACGCGTGATCGGTCGAATCAATTGCCGCTAGGAGCAGTTGCTTTTGCATATGTGGCAGTGCAAGAAAATCACGTTCGGTCTTCGAGGTTTTGATGCTGGGATCCTTTGAAATGACACCCGTTCCCGAGCAAGGCGCGTCAAGTAAGATACGGTCGAAACCACCAAGGATCTTGGGAAAGGCTTCTCGCGCGTCGAGATTCGAGACGATTGTGTTCTTGCACCCGAGGCGGTGAATGTTGCCAATCAAACCTTTAGCACGGGGTTTACTTGCGTCATTTGCAAGAACACATCCGGTGTTTCGCATTAACGCTGATATGTACGTCGTTTTACCGCCGGGTGCAGCAGCCATATCGAGAACGCGCTCATTTGGCTGTGGCGCCAGTGCCATGACAGGAAGGAAAGATGATGCAGCTTGTAGGATGTAGTGGCCAGCAAGATATTCGGGAGTAGCACCTAATGGTACCGCAGATTCGAAGACCTGTAGCCCAACTTTGGACCATTTGCCTACCGGTTCAAGGACGACACCGCGGTTAATCAAGGCTTGGGCGAGAGAGCGGCGGTTGGTTCGTAGCGTATTTGTCCTAATAACAACTGGACGGGGAGATTCGTTTGCTTCGAAAAAGGCGAATGCTTCACGGGGAGTGAACAGGTTGAACAGTTTTTCAGCTAAGTATGGAGTGTAACCGTAATAGGTGCAAATGTCGGATATGAGAAGGTTGGTATAGTCTGCTCGGGACTTGCTAGGCCGCCCAAGTGTGGATAGATCACCAAGTATGCGAATTGTTTCTGTAATACGGCTCCGAAGAAGCTGGAGGTCGGGAGCCAGGCCGATCTGTTTCTGCGCTTGGTTGTCAATCCCGAAGACGTCCACACTATCACCCGCGATATTGGTCTGAATGGCAGACTCTTTAAGTTCTAACTCGGCATGTTGCCCTGTAGCTTCTGTTTCGAGATCTAGTTTCCTTGATAGTCCTTCAATATTGGCGGCGGTAAGCTTTTCCTCCGCATCAGAGATATCTTCGTCTTCCGAGAACATGGCCTCTCGAGGATGGTCCTCTTCCGAGTCAAACGCTGAATCCAAACCCCCATCGCTATCTGAATGTTGGGAATCCGATACCTGGTCATCTTCAATATCGCTGACATCGTCGAGATCTTCGAACTCATCCCCCGGCAGGTCCTCCGCACCACTATCGCTGGTACCTAGCTTCTCCAATTCAACAAGCTTCTTTTTATTATCTCTGACAGCAGGCTTCATTGCCTTGACAACATTTCTATCAAGAGAATTCCGTGGCCTGGAGTGTTTTTTATTCTCTGTGCGTCGTTTTTTCCCCTCATGAACAGTAGCATCGTCGAGATCTGAGGGCTTGCGCCGTTTCAGAGATGAAATCTTCGATTCGTCCAGGGCCGGGGGAGGGCCCTGTTTCTTCATCCGTCGTCCCACACCCATTTTCAACTAGGGATTGGTTTCTTTGGGCTGAAAGGGGAGTAGTAAATGGCTAAGAGCTTGGAGCTAGATTGGAAGGTGATGGTGAACGATCCACCGCTCCTTTTTGCATATCTTTTATATCTTTTTCCTTTTTTTTTCTGATCCGGCAAAATTAAATTTCAAGGCGCCGGAAAAACCGACCGGCGAAATATGCCGTATTTGGATAGACATCCCAACCCATTGATTGATAAGGCTTAACTACATACAATATTCAATAGCACATTGCAATACTCCTCCTGTACGTTGCCTCTGATTTTGTTCGCACGGTCGCTTTCTAAACTGAAGCTGAGACACACATTATTACTTGAGCTGGCCCTTTCGTGCCAACCAACCCTCCACTGATAGGCCAGCAACTACGCTTGGGAGGGCCCATAGTAAAATACCGCACATCATGGCAGAGCTTACTTTTACCAAATCGTTCCTCGCGGCACTCGATACGCGGCCCGTGAAGCTTCCTGGTGATTATGTCTTCGACCCCAGCAGCTTCTCGGCTCCACACCCGGTAAGAGAAAACAACTAGCCAAGAATCAGTGATCAGATCCCTAAAACCTGACCGATGCCTCTGTTATCCCTCAGTACACCCTGCCCCGCCTCTCTGATTTCCACCCCCCGATGCCCAAGAAAAGAAAACAAACGGCGACTCCAGGGTCATCAAAGTCAATAACCATTCACTTGAAGTCAGCCAGAAATCCGACTCTACATGTGACGCTGGATAATTGCGCCATATCTTCAACTACAGTCAAGGAACTTCGGGAAACCGTCCAAGAGAGGGTCCAGACGGCAGACAGTGAGAAGAAGCCTAGCCGTGTGCCTCTGGATAAGATAAAGATATTATGGAAGAAGAAGCCTGTGCAAGGACAGACAATAGCGGATATTCTAGGAAGCGATTCTACCGCACTCTCGGGGGGAAAGGAGATCGAGCTGGGTGTCATGATTCTCGGTGGAGCTACACTTGCCCCTGTAACTCCCAAGGCGGAGGAAAATGTCCTCTTGAAAGAACCGTCCGAATCACTTCCTGCTCAGGGTCCGGTGGAAAACCACCCAAGTACCGCGCAGGATGTTCTGTCGACTGAGGAGTTCTGGGACGATCTAGAGTCCTTTATGACGTCTAAAGTGAAGGACCCGGCTCAGGCATCGCAGATTAAATCCATGTTTAGAAAAGCGTGGACTTCCTCCCAGTAGCTTATGTCTATAAAATATTTAGTTCGCCTTGGTGCGAATGTATTAGCTTTTGTTTACTGTGAGATCCCGATCTCGTTACGGCTGGTATGGTTATGACGTAGAACGCATGTGGAGCATTTCACATTCATATATATGTATATATTAATTACTTCGCTCCGAGAGGAAAGCAACGATGGTGTGATTTGAAGTGCCTTTGAGCGGTGGCGGGAATACAAATAGAAAATATGTTAATACACAGAAGATAACAACAGAATATAAAGTTTCGCTTACCCTGTCATCAAATATACAATCGCATAAAAAGAAAGAAAAAGAAAAAGAAGGAACGAAGCAGGATGTAAACACCACAACGCTTCCCTGACAGTTGATAGAGGGTATTTAGGTATCGTCAGGAGGCATGAAGTATAGGCGGATATTACATATGGCGGCCATCTGAGTTATTTTCAATAGTGTCCAAGAAAATGTGCAAACGCGCCGGGGCCAAAAAGGCAGTCAGAAGACGGAAGCGGGAGGGGGAAATAAAAGGGGGAAGGGGGAGAAGAGTGGGAGTAGCAAGACAAGGGACATGAAGTTTATGACAGCTGAGGTTGGACATACAATATAGAATGGGAACAAAGAAAAGAGCCGCGCGGAACATTGGTTATAACACTAGGGCTTACAGTCCCATTAAATTTGACCGCGAAACCCAAGCAACAAGCACCAAACAAGGCAACGAGACTGAGGGGACAAGAACTCCGAACCATTTATCATTATCTCGCGAAGACCTTAACCACTCCATCCCCACCCCCGCTCACAACCCATCGTCCATCTTGACTCCAAACTACAGAGCAAACACCCTCTCCTCGCAGAAGTCGATGACTGGTAATCTCCTGCGCACAATTCCGCTTCTCTAGTGACCAGAAGCGTAGGCTTGCATCATGACCTGCAGAAACGAGCTCGCGACCATCTGGAGAGAGAGAGAGAGAGGAGATTGCAGCAGGGTGGGCGAGCATAGTGTAAGTGCATTGACCTGTGAAGAGTTAGTAAACCTTAAATTGGGAAATCCCGAAGCTGGCGACGAGATGATGAGATCGTTCATACCACTATTGGCATCAAAAAATCGAATATAACGGTCTTCATAGCCACTGATAACAACGCCTTCGACTCCACCACTAGTGCCAGTGGCCCCATGCACAATGGTTTCTTCTTCTGCCAAAGCTCTGTTGGGGTCCAAGTTCACCGTCCCATCAAACCCAACCGTGCTTGCCACTACAGAGTTAACGCCAGTCGCACGAGTCCCGTCGTAAGTTTCCAAGCTAGCCATCCCAACGATTTCTTCCCCAGATCGAGTGTCATAGATAATGATGGAGGCGTCCGCATATGAAACAACAAAGTTGACGCCAGCAAGTGACAAGGGGCTGATAGACGTAGGGGAGGGAGAATTGGACCGGATTATGTGATGAATCAACGTGTAGTGAAAGGGTGTTGCACTTGCAGTG